GACCACAATTTTGACAAATAAAAATGCTGCTCTGATCAAGGAGAAAAAAATCGCAACGACGTAAATGTCTAGACAGTCCCTTGATTGCAAGGTCATCTACAGTAAATTTTCGCCCGGGTTTTTACAAAGTTTCACCGATCCTGTTATCACAGTGTGGGATATCTACTAACAAAGGGATGGGAAAAAAAAAGAAAAAAATCTAAATTAAATCGGCTAGATAAAAGGAAATTTAAATTTTTTTAGAAAATTAAATTTTCTATCATGCTACCTTCGTGCGCATGTGTAATCACACCAACATAACCAATTTAGTCCGATAAAGGACGTAACGCGCCACAAGAAAACTTTTTCCCACTTTTTCATATATATATATATATATATATATATATATATTGATAATATTAGTGGTAAATATACACATACACATGCAATCATATATCTAATATATATACATACCTAAATACACACACACACACACACACACACACACATATATATATATATATATATATATATATATATATATATGTATAAAAAATAATTCAAAGAGGATAGAATCCAGATAAAACTCAATGTCTAGGACAGAGTAAAGATATAACAAAGAGGCTTAAACACTAATATTCCATGGTCATAATTTATTCCATTGGAACCGTAAATACGATTCAATTCATCAGACCTACAAATTCAAAAAGAAAACAGAAAAAACAACTCCGGGAATAAAAAAATAAAATTTAGTGAGAGTGTATGTATGAGGGCGTGGGACGAATGTTAGAGTAAATGAAAGCTATAGGGAGGGGGAACAGACGAGAGAAAAGGGGGGAGGTTTACAGATGAAGTGGGGATTAAAATTTAACAGGGAGAAGTTTTACAGAGGGGAGTCAAAGACGGTTTAAGGTTTTTTATATATATATATATATATATATATATATATATATATATATATATATATATATATATGCTTGATTGCTTGTGAGTTCGCGTGCGTAAGTGCATCCATATGCACATATGCGAATGTCTTGTCACTAGTTGTCTTGTAGTAGGAATGTCTTAGTCAAATAAGACTTCACACGGACTGGTTAGAGTTAAATATGACATGAGCAGCATCGTTGTCACAAAGTATTACACATTGCATTATAGTAGACTTTATAATGATATTCATTTAATTTTGAGAGTCTGACACAAGGTCAAAAATTTAGAGCGTCTAATACAGTTCAGAAATTAGAATAACTTAACCAGTTAACCATTATTCCACGATGAGGCTTGTGATTAACTTAATCTGACACAAGGTCAGTAGTGCGGCTCCTAGAGAGAGAAAGGATATCGTGACTTTAGATACAGATCGCCATGTCTCCTCCTCCTCTGAATTCGTAGCTATGGAACCCAGTCTATCCAATTGTCCTAGGTGGCCGTTGATACTACAAGAAGGTCCATCCACCATTTGACAGTCCTTGTTTTTAATCCTGCCATCTTAATCACAGGAAAAGCTGGATGGGAAACTGGTTTACTGTCTTATGACCTTGACCATGTGACGGATAGTATTTAAGAAAAGAGAAGTAGCGATTTTATTGCATGCAGAATGTTGTGATAAGTTATTCAGAGTTTTCGTTTGGATCTTTATCAGAACAAATGTTGATTTTTATTCCATTTGTGGTAATTCTAATTTTATTTCATAAGAAAATATGAATGTACCCATTCGCTCTGACATTTCTGGTATCCACCCACCATTTCTTTATCAGCATAAATATTGTCTCTGGTTCAGTTCGTCCGATGAATTTTGATCGTAGATATTTCGTGAGGCTTAAAGAGTCGGCCAGTCATTGGGGAAAAAATGGTATGTATTATTCCTCTTTGGTGGATTGCGACTAGTACGTGCCGTCCCACCTGATGTCTGCCAAATGGTAGCATAAAAAGTTTATTTTACTCGCCACATGCTTACAATTATCTCACAACAAACACTTCCGACTCATCTTAAAAAAAGTTTAGTTTATCTCGAAAGAAACAAACTGAAATTTTAAATGACTGCTTTTTATGTATATAAAATTAAAGTTTAAACTTCGTATTAATTCTTATAAAATTATTGTGTCTATCCGGAAATATTTCGATGTTTTTTTTTTTTTAAATTTTGTAACAATTTATATGTGGTCATATATCTTAAGCATTTTGTGAATTATATTTTCAGTTACTGGATATTATGGCAATAGTAACTAAGCTTAAGTAAGTGAAAACATGAGGAGTTACAGGTCTTACAAGGTCAAATATAAAGAAAGTGGAAAACAAGTTGGTTTGCTGTGTCGAGCCAGAGAATTCTCGTCAGAATCTATCGTATACATTTATAAATCTACCATTGTCCCGTGCTTTGAATACTGATGCCATATGTAGTCAGGGTCTCTTGTTATATATGTCGAGATTCTTGAGAAAATTCAAAGGTTCTGTAATGTAATCGATCCTGACTTTCAGTTCAGTCACTTTCTCACCGACATGGCGTGACTTCCCTCTGTCATTTCTACACATATTTTCATGACATTTCTTTTGATGAGCTGTTCTTCTTAGGGCTTCGTTTGCGTGAATTTAAGCGTGCTACTAGATTGGCAGCTAGGTCTCACCGTTCTACTGTTGAACTAGCTAGATGCAACCATCAGTTCTATTCTAACAGTTTATTTTCTCGTACTTCTCGCCTGTGGAACTCACTTCCGAATTCTTGCTTCCCTGCCAACTACAATCTTAAAAATTTAAATGTAGCGTCAATTGCCATCTTCTGTCTTCCGTAATCCTGTTCCTTTTTTGTCTTTTTCCTCACTAAATTTTCTGATTCTCTTTCACTCTCTGTAACCCCCCCCCTGCCTCTTAGTGGCATTATCGCTGGAGTGAAATGATTAAAAAAAAAAAAAAAGACAAAGGATTTTCATTATATATTTAACTAATCGAATTAGTCTGCTCATCCTGGTTATTATATTTACAACGTTTCGGTCTTTATACCTTAAGTCATTCTTCAGGTGTTACTCTTCGTACTATGTAAACGTTGGAATTTTATCTCAAACCCTTTATTCAATCCTCGGGATAGATTATTCTGATTCCACTTTCCATGCTGAGTAGACTGAATAAATAGTTCAGTTTGAAATTCTGAGAAGGTCACCGAATGTTGTTTAACTCCCTCATGTTGTGCCAATTCGATAAAATGTTGCATCTTCTCTCTCGGCCAGTGATCGCTAGATGTTTTGTTTCAGAGAGAAAAGGACGTCAAACATGGGGAATTTTAACTTAACTATTTTATTAATGTCGACATGTACTAAACTACCCAGTGCGGGTCGTTCCCTCTCACTGGGGAGCCGTTTCAGATACAAAAGTGAACACGTTTACATTGCATGACGTGTAAGAAACAACTCACTGAAACCTTTCTCCTATCGCCTTTCCCACGCTAGCTCAGCTAATCAAAACTGACTTCCCATATTATGGTTTGTATCTGACCTTATGGCCAACCTCAAAGAGTCGGACAAGAGATACACTCCCCCTGAAAAATAATAGTTTGCTAAACTATTATTTAACACGAATACAAAAACAAACACAGGAAGTAACCCAGCGGTTATAACGGCCGAAACGCTGAGTTTAATACCCAAGATAAAAATGATTTGAAGAGGAAAAGGATATAAAATGATAATACTGAACAACAGACATTTTGGTGCAAGGATGGAAAGCCTCTTTATTGGTTAATTTGAAGGCGTTGAATCCAAAAAATGACATCCATTTTTTCATATTAGTTACCGGTCTCATTTTGGTAAAAATTTCATTTTAGCTCATTTTTTTATCGAATGATGGATCTATAAAAAGCAGAATCCATTCATTGGATTTTACCATAACCTAACCAATTTTATAAATAACTAACAATTTGTATAAGTATCTCAGGTATCGGTAATTCAAATTATTAGTGCCTATTCATAATCAAAGTATTCGTAGTCTTATCTGTGGTAAACCCATGCCTTTATTTTTTGCATATACTACATACTACGAGAATGACAATGACAATGATTTTGAAGGATTATCATTTGAACCGATAACGTTCGATCAAGCACTGATCAATCAAATCAACGAACTTGTATATTGTAACGATGCCGAATGAGTTTTGCTACGTCTTGATATTCAAGACTGGGATGAAAATTCATGGAGACTATTCATTGATAGCTCAAAGCCTAGTTTAAAATCTGTGTTGCTGCACAACACTCATTGTATGTGCATTAGAACATAAACGACGAAAAACATGAACCCATCAAGGAGATATATATATATATATATATATATATATATTACTTTCATTATAACTGGGTGATTTGTGTTGATTTACTTTTTACTTGGACAGCAATCAGGCTACAAAATTTCTCATGCTTCCTTTGTTTATGTAACAGTAGAGTGAGAGACAGTTAGTTATGTGCCATGTGTGATGCACGCTTAGGTAATCATGTATTTTTCGATACATGACTAATGAGGCAGATTTTTTCCTGCAGAAGGTTGCCATTTCTTTCTGCGGTAAACCAGTTGCAATCCAAAGCTATAGAACCCGGTCTGTCCTGCTATTTACCCATAGCTGGGATTCGACTGGAATACGAACTCGGCTTTCCGATACCTCAATGGATATCGACTCGGAGTGAGGAATCGGAGAGCTGAGTTCGAACTCCAGTCGAATCCGTTACATTCACTTACGTGCTAATACCCTTGGGAAAGGTATGAATCCTCTTCTTCTCCCCCCAGCAACTGGTTTTCCCTCAGAAAGAAATGGAAACCTACCGAGGGAAAAATTCTGCCTCATCAGCCATGTATCGAAAGATACATGATCGACTAAGCGTGTATTACGCATGGCACATAACTGATTGAGAACGAGAAATCAACACTGGAATAAAAGAGAGTGACCGGCCAGAGTAGAAATTAAAGTCGGAAAGTAAAAGGGGATAACTGATCTGCCAGTCCTCAGAGATAAATTCATCTTCCCCCCTCTTCATATCAAATTAGGACTCATGAAGCAATCTGTGAAAGCATCTTCACAAGGAAAGCCAACGCTTTCAGTATATTTGCAGTGAATTTTCTGGTCTCAGCATAAAATAACTGAAACAAGCTATTTTGGGTGGATCTAACATTCGAAAACTCATCAAGGATGATAACTTCGTTAACTCTATGAATGTCACTGAATCAAATGCCTTGATTTCAATTCTTGATGGAGTAAAAAAAAATTGTTATTTACAAGCAAACAGCCAGGAGCTTGGTGATAGGATGTGTATCAAACAACATTTCCTGCATAATCATTTCGACAAGTTTCCAGAAAACTATGGCAATATAACTGATGAACAAGGTGAACGTTTTCATCGATATATAAAAGTCATGGAGGGCAGATATCAAGGGAGATGGGATAAAAGAATAATGGTAAATTACTGTTGGAACCTGAAGAAAGACAAAACTGTGGATCATTCACGAAAATAAAAAAAAGCGGAAGTTTTTTTTTACCATAATTGTTCTTTTTTAATTTTTAACTTCATATTTAAACGAACATATTTGCGTTTTAATGTACTTTTCTTCTTACCTCATAATTGAAACTTTATTCCATTTGCACTACTGTTCATTTTTCGTTTTTCAAACACATAATTTAAAATAAGCAATTTTTCCTGTTCATCATCTGAAACAAAAAACTAGATCTGGCTGAGAAAAATTGCTATGATATTCGAATTCGGCGCCATCAAATTGTTTAGAATTTGCTATGATATCCCTTGCACTGTTTAAAAGAAAGGTCAGTGTAATTTCTAACCAAAGAAATTCCAACAAAGATTTATTGGGTCTATTTCCCAAGAAAGGAAGTTATACTTGTAGTTTACGTGTTTGTATTTTACGACGACAGGCACAGGTTGGAAATATAAAAGTATATCAGTTACCCGTATTATCAATCTATCTACAGGGTGCGATGGGAAAATTGTCGCCATTTTATATTTTTAATTTCTCAAATGCGTGTTGTTTTTGATGTTGTCGACTGCACAATATAGTAGGGTCAGTTTGGCATAGTCTGTGTGAAAAAGAGCATCATGACGCAATTCACTCAGCCAGAAATTTGGAAACGGCATGCTGTACAGTTTGGCATTCGCGCCGGAAGATCCAATATGAACATTTTAGACTGTTTGGGTGTCAATCTGAAGACAGTGCAGAGGATTCGGAAAGAGTTGATTGACTCTAATGGCAATTACGAAGTTACGATAGCGCGGAAAACTCTGATCGTTCTGGTAAGAAAAAACTCCCGAATTTGTTAGTGAGGGTCTCAGACTCAACAAGGAGGTATCAAGTGCTTTGAGGAGTTAGTGCTCCTAGAAGACCCTATTTCTGGCAACAGGACTCTGCACTATGCGACACAAGCAGAAGAATCTAGTCATCACTGCCAGACAATTTCTGCGTCCATATCACCCCTTACATCTGGCCACTTAACTCCACAGAATGTAACTCCCTTGATTATTATGCATGGGGCGTAGGTGAGCGAAAGTAAAAAAAAAAAAAAAAAAAAAACTTTGTAACAACAAAGATGAACTGAAGGCAAGGATTATGATAAAATTCAACAACTTAAAAAAGTAGACAGTTCAGAAGAGTTGCAAGTGATTCCGAAGTCGTCTGGAGGCCGTGGATGAAGCCAATGGCAAGTTTATTGAATAAATTTGTTGTTAGTATTTCAAGATATTTTTGTGTAATATTGGTAAATATATCTGTTAGAATGGAATATCAGTGTTATTTTAAATTTCGCGAAATTTAGACGACAATTTATCCCTCGCACCTGTATCTCTATCAGTCTGCTCGTATTATCTATCTATCTATCTATCTATCTATCTATCTATCTATCTATTTCAATCTGCCCGTATTACAAAAATTATTTATATCAGTCTGCCCTTATTATGTATCTAATAAAGAATATCTTTCTACAAAAAAATAAAAAAACAAAAACAAAAACAAAAAAAAAACAAAACAAAAAAAAAAACAAAACAAAACTAGACACACCGTCGTGCAGTGTGTTTCTGGAAGGTCATGTTTATTTAGGCAAACGGTCTTTGTTATTACACTGCTTAATATCGAAGAATAGAGCAACAACAACTACAACAACAACAACAATAATAATAATAATAATAAAAATATGCATACAAACATACATATGTGTGCGTGTTTGTGTGTGTGTGTGTGTGTACATAATATATGTAATTAAATGTGGCCACAAGGAATACATTTAATTTTTTTACTCAAACTTTGTTATTTTTATGCTAATGATTATATATGAGTAGTTAATGTATGTAAGAATTGTAGAAAAGTTTTTGATCGATCCCTTTCGGCTCTTCTTTTAGCCGACATCATGATCCAAGACTTTAATTGTTGAAGACAATAATTAGGATTACAAATGTAGTTGTTTTTTAAAACTCAATTTTTAGATGTTATTAAAGCGTTTGTGCTTCCATGTTTGCCGTCATGTAAATTTGCATGTGTTTAATTTCCATGTTTTGAGACTCAAGCAAACTGATCACCCCAACAAACGAAAAAAAATTACTGTTAATGAAAGGCATTATAAAAAAAAAGTGAAGACCAAACGCACTTTGCATCTGTTCACCTTTTTTTATCTATTATAACAAAATTTGGATAAACATCTTGTTTGGTTTTGATATTTACTAAGTTTTGCTAAGTAGAGTACTAATTGCTTAGGATGTCACGTGTTTCTAAGTCTTTAGCATTGATCTGTATTGGCAGTGTTCAAATTTGTGACGTTCGTTTTGTGATCGTATCTTTTTGTGAATTCATTAAGCTTAAAGTTGAGTAGACAGACAAATTATCGAATTTTACCTCAAAGAGAATATTGTGCATAAAACAACTTCTAAAAATATAATTATTTATAATGACTGGGAACAAATAGTCTGTATATTGAGACAGAACATATTCAGATAATATATAAGGAGGAATATGATGAGGATATATTTTCTGACAAAATCTATTCAACCTATATAGCGAGACGAACATATCAAAACTAGAACACCTACCAAGATTATTATTGGTAGAGATAGCCTTAAAAATCCTCAATTTCCAGTATTGATAGTGACCACGTCCTTATGAGGTGACAAATTATTTTCTATACCGTAACCCCTTTCTTACAGACAGGATGTGACAAGCCGCTAACTGCTCTGTCGCTTCTATGGAGAGTGGTTGGGCTAACTGCATTCTTTGGTTCCGCCAGTTCTAAACTTCACGGTTAGGACCCGCCAAGCCATACACATTGTAGCGAACTACCTTCATTCCCTTTATATTCCATTGGGGAGATGGAAGTTCCACTCGAGTAGCTTCTTCCCGCGAAACACTGCTCTGTGGAATCGACTCCCAAGAGGATATTTACCTAATCGCTACAATCTTAACCTGTTCAAGTCTAGGGTTAACCGCTATCTTCCTTACCTATCCGTATAACTGTGCCTCTTACTCTGTAACCATCTACCTTGAGTGGCTCCCGAGCCTTGTATATGGTGAAATTCACTGTAAAAAAAAAAACAAAAAAAAAACTTAAGATAAGACAATAAGGGAAAACAAGAAAAATTACATATAAATTATAAGGAAACAAAATTTATGGTTTTCAGCCAATGTGTGAGTTATGTATTAAATATGTCAATATTAAGCAGATAGAGAAATTTAAATATCTGGATAGTATAGTAAGAGATGACAGAGAAAATTTGACAGAAATCTGAAGGCTCTCAAGAAAAGTGAAAGATATTTTCCAGAAACTAAGTAAAGTATTAAGAGTAAGGAAAATATCATTAGAAACAAAGAAGTGCGTGTTGAAGTGCTATGTAATATCTAATCTCTTACATGGCAGCGAATGTTGGCCGATTTCCTCACAGAAGTAGGAGAGACTTGAAGTGACAGAGATACGGTTCTATCAACGTACGGTAAGAATACCATAGACGGAGCATGTAAACAACTAGGAAGTTTTAAGAAAACTAGGAAATACAAGGAAACTTACACTTGCAATCAGAATTATCTGAAATGATGAGGAAATAAGGCCCGGAGAATTTAACCCTCATAGGATACACAGAAGGGAAATGGCGAGCGAATTAATGAGTTTAGGTGAATGAATAGTAGAGAAAGAAAAAAGAAAGATGGTAAAAAGGTATTTTCGCTTTACTTAAAGCAATAAAAGACAGGATATGATGAAGAGCCATTATTATCCACGTCTTGAAGGGCTATGGCGGATAAGAGTGTATTTATGATAAAATTTTATATTAAAATGGTTGTAAAAACAACAAAAGAACGAAAACTTAATTAGCAATTATATCATAATGGGTTGGACCAAAAATCAAAATAATAGTAAATCATATATATATATATATATATATATATATATATATATATATATATATAAGCAAATATATGGATATAGATCCGACAGTATGAAGAAAATATACTGAAAAAACAAACAAAAATCCTAATATGCAATTATGCTGTTTTAATGTTTAATGTCAACGTCGGACGTTTCGGTCTAATAGAATATGTCCTGAAGATGGTCTATTAGACCGAAACGTCCGACGTTGACATTAAACATTAAAACAGCATAATAGTATATTAGGATTTTTTTTCATTATGTTTTCTTCATATATATATATATATATATATATATGTGTAGATATATATGTATATAAAGCTGATGTTAGAGTTTTTATTATTATATGAATTTTAAATACGAGAGACTCTGATGCTTTATAGCCTATTAAATTATTAATTACTGCTAAAATATTTTTACAAATCATCTTCTCTTGGGGTTATTATAAAATATCAATAATGACTAATAGGAAGTCTAACCCTAACCGTTATCTTTGCCATCTATCCACATAAACTGTGTCTCTTACTCTGTAACCCGCTACTTCGAGTGGTCCCTGGGCCTTGTACACGGTGAACTTATAAATATTAAAAAAAAAACAAAAAAAAAACACTTCGATAAGACAGTAAAGGAATACAAGAAAAAATTAAATATAAATTGTAAGGAAACAAAATTTATGGTTTTCAGCCAGTGTCAGTTATCTGTTAAAGATGTCAATATCAAGCTGATAGAGAAATTGAAATATCTGAGTAGTGTAGTAAGAGATGACGGACTAATAACTAACAGCTGTTATGATAAAAAATGAACTAATATTGTAAAAAAAAAAGAAGCATTGTTTAGTTTTAAGAAGTAAAGTACAATAAAGAAGTATTCTTCATTTTAAAGAAGTCAATTTGTAGTAATGTTTCTTTTAACTAAAAAAAAAAATTGTCTTTCTATACTGCATTTGTAATATAGATGTTTGTCAAGTCTGTTGTTTGCTGATTATTCAAAGGCATTTTAATTTTCAGTATAAAATAAATTACTGATTACATAAATACCTCTTTAAAGCATTTGGTGTAATTTTATAACAATGGCTAATTTCAAATAACACATGAATATATGAAAAGTATCAAATAAAATTATTGTGTATAACAATATTTGAAAGTTGTTTTTCAACCGCTGGCCTCCAAATATGTTTTAAAAAAATTTCTGTTCATATTTTCATTTCCAAATGAAGTTGCTTTAAAATGTATTCTGTGAAAATATTACTACATGTTATTTAATAGAGTCTGAGAAAACTGCCAAGTGAAATGGCTTAATACTTGTCGTTAGAGAGAGTTTAGATTTTTTAAATTATTTTTTCTATGTATAATGGCAATTTTAAAATAAATTATTATATGTTTCTATATTCAATAGACTTGGAAAAAATAATAACACCTTAAAATCTTTTCATATATACTAGAAGATTCTCCGAAAATTGCCTTTCAACCAAAGGTAAATACAGTGTTAACATTAGTTAATAATTCCCTTCTTTAAAAAAATGAAGAAATTTTAATTCATAAAACATGTTCAACAACTATAACTTATCCCAGTGGAGTAATGGATAGCGGCTCGGAGAGCCGAGTTCGAATTCCAGTCGAGTCCATCGAATTCGTTACATGCTAATACACTTGAGAAAGGTATGAATCTTCTTCTTCACCCCCACCTCTCAGCTATAGGTAAATAGCAGGACATAGCCTTGAATGGCAACTGGTCTGCCGCAGAAAGAAATGGCAACCTACTGCGGGAAAAAATCTGCTTCGTCAGCCATGTATTGAAAGATACATGATCGCCTAAGCGTGGATCACGCATGGCATATAACTGACTGAATGCCCTGTATTCCTCAGGATTTTGTCGGTGTGATAGCACATGACCTCCATATACCATCGCCCTGGGGCTGCACACTCGACAGGTTACTGCAGACAGACGATCAAAAGACTGAATTCTGACCAAACGAAGGCGATACATTTATCTTGCAAGATAAATGGATCCCAAATATTTTAGTTATAAATGATTTTCTGGAGAATTTGATGCAAGACAAGGTGTTATATTTTGTAAGTAATTTATGATATTTGCATAAGTAGATTTATTTTTATGTCGTTTTATTAAAGCAATTTTCATCACCTATAGTTTAGTTGTTTTCTAAAAAAAAAAAGATGTCAGTGAATATTTATAGTCAAAGTAAAATAAAAGATGTTTTGATAAAAAAAAATAACTTTTATTGTAAAAAGCAAATTCCATTTCTTTTAAAAAGTGGAATATAATATCGAATTATTCTTAATTTATTTGTAACATAAACTGGATTGAATAATTACCAATTTTTTTGGTTCCATTATCTCATATTACCTTTCAGGCAACTCTATGTTTCCTTATTTACATAATTTAGACACGGTCTATTTCTCTCATCTCACAGACGGTTTTTTTTTTTTATTACTTCTCAGTTCCTACTTCGCTTTGTTTCCAACGAGTCTATTCTACCCGGCCCAGGTATCGAA